GATCGGTCTCATTACATACGAATTATACGAAACTCGTGACTTTCCGATGGTTTCTGACCTCGCTTTCGCTCGGTCAGATATCATAGGAAGGACACTCGTTTCGTGTAATTCATATGTATTGAGACCTCGTGTAGTATTCTCTATATACGTTCTGGTAAAAGTTTAATCAAGTTGCCATGAACAATTGTTTTGTAAAGTCATCTTTTAACAAAACTTATTTCTTACAAGAACTACAGTGTAATGATCAAACGCTTCAACACCATATTCAGACGAGGTGCAGTAATACTGTCAGTTCATCAAAACTGCCAACTATACCACTGTATAAGACTGAGTGTTTTGTGCTTTTCTTGAGTGCAAACAGCAGTTGATGTTCTTAACACCATTGCCAGAAGAAAACGCATGTTAACCATAAAGTAGAACGGAAGTTCATATATCATGGCACAAGATAATCGATTACAAATTGATTCCAAGAAAATTACAACAAATCAGTTTTAAGAAGTGTTGTCATTTCAAAGAGCGTCATGCCACTCTTCTTCTGAAGTTGATCGATCAAGGCCTTCAAGGCCTCAGTAAAGCTTTCAAGATTTTATGGTAGACATGTGGAAGAAAGTTCCAAAATTGATGCATCAGTGACAAAAATGATGTGCGATGCAATTCACTATTTTGACTTTTACGTTCCCGAATTATTTCAGGTGAACAATTGATAAGACTTTGCATATGTCTAGTCCAGGATACGCTCACCTTTTCGCGAACACCTGGTATCATCACTATTTTACAGTGATTCATAAACACATGCTATGTCATCGTATTGCTGACAATCACTGGCTTGTCTGGTCCAGATTCGATTTGTTTAAAACAACAATACTTGTTCTTGTCACTATATGGCTGGAATAATGCCGATGTGACGTAAAGACCAACTCAACTCAAGTCAACTCAACCTACAAACAACATCGTACAGCTGTAATACTGCAGAAACAAATATCAGCTCATGATAAAGTCACAATTGTACAATCGACTCTGGGCAGAGATTTCTCATGAATATGGAAAGGGTTTTGTCGCCTCTATTGTAAAAGTTCAACCACCTATTTGGAAATATTCCGGCTGATGTAGGTGATACTACTAAGCCACTCAGCACATACATGGATGAACAAACATGGCGTGGTGCTGATACTGTAGAATGTTGATGACCACTCTATTCAAGGGAATGTTCTCTTTTTGATTCAGTTCGTCATGTGCTTTGCAGACATCTAATTTACTTGTGTGTGTGCCCCTCGGAGTGCGTGTGTGGGTCGTTCGTATCGTCTACTCTATAATTCCTTGTAGTATTGTTTCCGTGTATGACAATGAACGTAACATGGTAGATTGTGGTATTTAGACTTTAAGTCACCAGAAATATAAACAAGTATGAGTGTGCTATATAATCCTATACATATTCATGTAGACTTAATGTGGCTTCTTCCTCCGTTTACCTTGTGTTAAACATGTGTGCTTGAAGAACTATAACCATTATTGTTTACCATAAACTACTCCGTAGCACCCCATTTCTTGGTTTGCAACTGCTTCACTCGGCTAACGTCACTGGTGGCAACATTGCGTTTATGTTTTTCGACGGATATAATGTCTCAGTTCGACTCACAATTAAACAGCGACACGGCAACGTTCGCAAAGTTTACATTCCCACAATGCATCTAAGTTGTAGAATGAATGAATTCACGTGTTTGTTCACTCTCCTACCCAGAGTTCCATGCGACAAGCCAGCATAGTACCTGTGCCACAGGCCAGGAAAATGTGACGATTCGTCACATCTTGCAATGATTTGTTTTACTCTTTTATTTTTGACGAGTCTAAACATCTAACTAAACATCTTTAATACAATGGTTTAGTTTCACTGAGAAAGTATCCAAAACCATGTAACACTATTTCGATTTGCGTAGCGATCCTACTAACCCGGAACACAAACAAGGTTAATACATAGTTGTGAATGGACTCAACAGTGGCATCCATCCATCAGGTGCATTTTCTATGTGGTTTACAATAAGTGATTTATAAACGTCACAACCGATATGCACACTGAGTAAAGTGGCGGACTTTGCATTTCTGGTAACATGATTGCAGATTTCGCTGCTAAGGGAGAATTCAACAAATCTGTGACACCAGTTCTTATCCCATACTCCGATTACAAAGCTGTCAATATAACTTTTATCCGTGATCTAATGCAGAAGAGGTGGGACGCCCAACTTGGGTTGTCAGTCAAGATTTGAAGAGGTCATCATGCGACGATGTCGCTGTGGCCATACAAGGTATACTAATGAAAATTTGTTATAAGGCGAAGATCATCCGTTTTGCATGCCTTGTGATGAAAGAATCACAGTCAAGCGTGTCCTGCTTGTCTGCAATGACTTTTCCATCACAAGGGATAAATATTTCGATGTCAAAACCGTTAAGGATTTTTTTTATAATATTAATTATCATTTAATAATTGAATTATTAAGAGAAATAGAATTACTTGATAAATTTTGAATAACATGTTTTGTAAACAGATAAATAGTAGTATAAATTAGCAACTGCGATTGCTAGTGGCTGTACCCTTGAAGGGGGTTAAGGAATCGTAAAATTATTATCATCCTGACTGCATACGTAAGTCCCATATCTTTCAAAGCTACATTTAAACCTACCAGATTTTTAAACGTAGTATGTTTGGTCGTTTAAAGTTTGGCTAAATATTTCCTACAGACGCCAGCGGCTGAAGGGATGGTGTAAATCCAACTAGGGTCCATGCATTAAGCAAAAGTACTGTAAGTCCCCATGGTCCCTAGTATGGTGATCTACCTTCAGTTGTTGGCGATCTATAGCCTGTTATTTTATTGTATCGTCCTCTATAGTTAAAGTATTTTAGATTTATTTACTAGTTATTAATATATATCTGTGACGGTCTGGTTGGTTTTACTGTCGAAAGATATTTTAAATTGATTACCTTGTTTTCATCGCTATATGGCTGTGATATTGCCGATTCGATGTAAAATTTTAACTCACTCACTCATCTACCCCAAGAAGCAAGAAGAAATGTCGTTCCCAGGTATAAGTCAAAGGAAAATGGATCAGTCAGTATGTATTTCAGTAAACATTTGCATGTTCATGTCGATTTCTGAAAGTTGTAAATGTAACAAACGTGCAACAGACTTGCCGCATAATTAGGTGAGTGACAATGATGGTTTAACAATGTAGACTTCGAAGGTTGAGAAGCTCCTTATTTAGTCTTTACTTAATGTGTTATTTAACGAAAACAACAGTTTACACGAAAATAAATACATGATCTATTTTGAGTATGTTGTGCTTATCGTTGTACTTCCCTTATGAAATATATACATGATCTATTTCGAGTATGTTGTGCTTATCGTTGTACTTCCCTTATGAAATATATACATGATCTATTTCGAGTATGTTGTGCTTATCGTTGTACTTCCCTTATGAAATATATACATGATCTATTTTGAGAATGTTGTGCTTATCGTTGTACTTCCCTTATGAAATATATACATGATCTATTTCGAGTATGGTGTGCTTATCGTTGCATTTCCCGTATGAAATATATACATGATCTATTTTGAGTATGTTGTGCTTATCGTTGTACTTCCCTTATGAAATATATACATGATCTATTTCGAGTAAGTTGTGCATATCGTTGTACTTCCCTTATGAAATATATACATGATCTGTTTTGAGTATGTTGTGCTTATCGTTGTACTTCCCTTATGAAATATATACATGATCTATTTTGAGTATGTTGTGCTTATCGTTGTACTTCCCTTATGAAATATATACATGATCTATTTCGAGTAAGTTGTGCATATCGTTGTACTTCCCTTATGAAATATATACATGATCTATTTTGAGTATGTTGTGCTTATCGTTGTACTTCCCTTATGAAATATATGCATGATCTATTTTGAGTATGTTGTGCTTATCGTTGTACTTCCCTTATGAAATATATACATGATCTATTTTGAGTATGCTGTGCTTATCGTTGTACTTCCCTTATGAAACATATGCATGATCTATTTCGAGAGTGGGACACTCTTCCCATACGGTTATCTTAAACATGCCATAGGTGTTTTCTGGGGAAACGAATTTGTTTTCTCGATAATTATGACGTTTCAGTTTTGATCAGTGAGTGAGTAAAATTTAACGTCACGTCGGCAATAGTTCCGCTATATCGTGACGAGAACATGTTTGGCATTGAAATGGAATATGTGTATATTACAAAGCACCTGTCGTCAAAAGGACAGTAAAACAGCTAGTATATCACAATTACAATTAAAACTAGTGTGGGAAGTAAAAAGTAATAGCACTATGTAGACAATACAATATAAACACAGGCTATAGATTGCCAACAACTGAAGGTAGATCACCATACTAGGGACCATGGGGACTTACAGTACTTTTGCGTCCTGCATGGGCCCTTTCTGGATTTACACCATCCTTTCAGCCGTTAGCAATTTAGACATATCTGGCCACACATTAAAAAGACACATATACTACGATTACAAAGTGGAGAGTTACAATTTACTTTTGGGACTTACGTACCCTCTCAGGAGGACAATGATTTTACAGTACTTTAATCCCCCTTGAGGATACAGCCACTCACAATCTGAGTTACTAATTCAAATTTCCAATCATAAAATATTTATCTATTTACAAATCATTTAACATGCAATGGTTAAATGAGAACTGATATTAGTATAATAATCCCTCATGATTTAAAATAGTTATCCCTTGTGATGGACTATTCTTTTATCAGTTATTATCGTGTCATATGTCGTTTAATTCAGCATTGGTCACATGTTGTTTGCTGGCATCGTGTGACACAGAAATAGACTCTATTTCATTGTACATGTATTCACGAAATACTGTGTTTGGATATTTGAACTTTGAGATGTATCTATCACAAACGTGTGTTTTCTTTCTTGTACATAACTCATCGAGGTGAAAAATGACACAAGCAGTATGAATAGTGGTCTTATTCACTTGCCAGTGTTATACAGAAAGTTTTTGCAATACGTTTTTTGGAGACTTGTGCGAATACCATCCGTGACAGCTTGATGATATGATGCAGCTGGAATAGTGCTGAATCTTGTGGTGAACAACAAAGGTCATTCTTGTCTGGAAACTGATCATTCAGAACAATCAGACAGGGTCTCTACTGAGGACGTGCAAAGTACATGCATTTCATCCTCAACATAGAAAAGGGGTTACCATCACAATTTTCGTTGAAGAATAAGTGAACTACCGTCTTTTCACAATGTTTACTAACGCAGCAGATATAGAACTGACCATCAAGCACGACCCTGAAATTAAGGTAGTACAGGTGTGAAAAGCATAAGTCTTGACAGCACTGTCTATGTAAGATAACATCTCAGTCCAACGCAGCTAGCAGTCATATAAACACAATGCATGAAAAAACTTTAGTATGAAATGGGTAAACGTTCACACCTCATCAGTAAATTCTGGGCGTTAAGCGATCTATATAAAGTTTAAATATTAGGTTAGGTTGATTAGAAACAAATATCCCAGATGGGGCAAGGCTTTGTTTTGTTTACAAGAAATAGACACTACCTAAAGTATACTATTCTTAAAACAAGAAAGCTGTAAATGTTAGATTATTAGATTTTCTATATAATTCAGTTTTAAAAACTGTCATGTTTTGACATTGTCTTACCTGCAAATACATAGGTAAAATCATATACCATGCTCAGTCTGAAAATCCAACCTGAAATGAAACACAAATCAGAAATCATGAGCACGTTACAATGTCAAAGGAACGGGATCCTAATTTCGACACACATCCACAGTCCTTTTCTTTATTGTTCGAGGGTATTTGATTATAATGCAGGAATGTTAGGTCCATGAAATGTTAAAATGTTAAAATTTGGCTCGACATAAATGTACGAAATGCATGTAATGTTGTGAAATATAACGCCAGTGATAAACCAATGTTGCAGATCTACCCAAACAGATTCTTTTGCGCCCAAAATAAACAAAAGCAGCTGTGAACGCTACTCGATTGTAAAGAAAAATCATCAGTGATCAGGATAATAGGTATTGTTTAAAGGGTAAACATGTCCTTCACCATACGAAGCACCCACCAGAAACACGAATTATTAAATGTCTTTACAAGCCACCCTTTGGGGAATTGCACTGTTTTGAATGGTCGTTATACTTACTTGCCAATGGAGGTCCGAGTATGTATCCAACTCCCATCGAGTAATACACAAACCCATATGCCACTGGGACATCCTTCAGTGTAACCAAGTCAAGAACAATAAGACCAACCAGAGTGTTTACACCTTGGCTGTATGTCCCATACAGAATCCCAAACACCAGCTGTGTGTTATATGTGTAGGAATAAAGAGGGAACGACAGAAGCAACATTCCCGATATACCAGTTAAACCTACTTGGAGAATCATGTATGGAATTTTCGAATCTGAGGCCATTATTCCTGCAACTACTCTTGAAAAGACACTTCCAAATCCCATTACAGTGAAAAGAGCTGCCGCTTGATTAGGTGAACTTCCTTTTTGTTGGGCATAATATGGAAGATGGAAAATAGCGGCTGATTCACCCAGTGTCCACAACATGATGCTCATGTTATATATAAGAAATCTGGTTTCCTTAAGGACTCTAAAACCGCTGAAAACGCTGCATACATTTGATTTTATTCTTGATTTCTTGCAGTCTTTGTGTGGTGAAGAGATAAACGCATGGTAGGATTGAGGATCATCTGCAGAAGTTGATACTTCTAGAACATGGCTAGTAGTGTCCTCAGATGGTTGCTGATGATAGCTAGCAGATTCATTTTCTGAAGGTGTAGGATGTTTGTCTATCTCATGAGTCTTTCTCTCGTTTTCCAGTGCCGTGTGTATATCTTTTCCACTTTCGTATTGCGCACAATCGTGATCCTTGTCAGTTTTGTCATCTGAAGAGGAGTCTTTTGTGAAGACAAGTGCGGTTTGAGACTGTCGGAGTGGTCTCAAGGTAACACCAGCAACACACATGTGGAATTCTATTGCACCAAGGATAAGAAGCGCCCCACTTAGGTTGTACTGACTAAGAAGATATCTGACAAGAGGTCCCGCAACAAAGAGGCCCATGCCTCCACCAGCAATGCACACACCAAATGCTGTTGCTTGCCTCTTTGAAAAGTACTTTCCTGTTACAACGCCAACTACATTGCAGGCCAGACAAATACCAAACCCTGTCGAAGAGAGGAAAAAGACCCATCATAAATATGTATGCAAGCATACTGAACATAATATTCCGCACAAATTTCACATTAACGTTTACAGCAACAGTACAGCGAGAAACATTTATATGGATATTTTGCTGCTAACAACAACCTTTCATCAATTGTATTCTAAAACACATTATATAATACTTACTTAGAATTTGCCAGTATTATCAATGACACACGCAACTCAACTTTGATCCAAGTAGTGATTTTCATTTGCAAATAACATATTTAAACTGTTTTTGCACAGTCCTTCATAAATTGCATCAGAAAGTTAAATGTAATCGCGAAGTTAAGCAAACCCCGACAGATCGCATACCTGGTACATATCGGTAAGAATTAGTATTCAGCAACCCATACGTGTCGTAAAAAGGCGACTAACGGGATCGGGTGGTCCGCTGACTTGGTTGACACATGTCATCGTATCCCAATTGCGTAGATCGATGCTCATGCTGGTCCACACTCGATTACTTACATAAAGCCGCCATATAACTGGAATATTGCTGAATGCGCCATTATACAAGAAACGAACAAACAAACATACCTGATACAAGGCCATACGTTAGCACCAGACCAAATATGGATTTGCAGAATGAAGCTACCGTCATGCCAACAAGAGTTAAAACACCACCAACCATAGCTGTAATACGGGAACCAACTTTGGATTGTATCAAGCCAGCAACTGGACCTGTAGAGATGACAATATGTCTGTAAGACCGATAGATGTTAATCAACTAGCCCCAGTTATCAAATATGTATAAAAAGTGAATAATTGGTGTTTAAGTGTACTTTGAAGTGTTCTCTCGATATCTGAACCCATGATCTCCGAATCATTACAAGTCTAAGGGACACATGTGCACATAGTTGCAGTATGGAAGGTAAATATTTAGTTAAAGTGATTCCTCGAATGGAACACAGACAAACAACTGAATTTAATTAAAGCATTCCTCTGTCAGCTTAAGTTGAATTGCTTGGAACAACTTTGTAAAGATTAAATGAATATCACCTTCTTAATATATCATACCCATCATTCTGTCCCGGATACATAAAGATTTTTAAAACAGATACGTCAGAATGCGTTTCCATATCATTCAGATAGTATATACCCAGTAAAGTGCAAGCTCCAAAGTTAATCGAACCGATCCATGAGGTCTTCGTCAGATCATTTTCAATTTCCTCCAACACCGCAATGTTCATGACACCAGGAGAGTAAGCCAGTATTCCAGCCATGAGCTGTAAGGTGAAGGCAGCTGCAAGGATCACCCACGCATACCCTTGGTCAACATTAGATCTTGAGACTTCCATGCTTCTGTCGTGTATTCTGAAAGACATATATACGCCAATAAACTAGCAGTGAACAGCAACATATACCTTCCTGAAACTTAAGCAACTATTTCCTAGCGTTCATGCTCCTTTCATGACTAACATATTACTACTTCCTGTTTTTTTTTAAAGATGTCTCTTGTGGTTGTTCAACGTGGACATGGCAAGTGTAGCGGTTCTGTGACAATCTTATTTTACCCTGGATATCAAAATGGGTGTACTTCTAAAGCGTGTCCACTGTTGCTGCAATGTGAATATAGTAAATACATCAACTTATCTGAATCTTATTACCCCTGCTATTGTATTTACACTTCTTACACAGTAATCTAACTTTGTACTGTGTTTTTTTACCACCATTGACATTACTTTACAGTATTTTTATTAAGTTGTAAATGTGGTTCATTTTACATTACATTTATTTCTTGTTTGTTGGCACAATTCACTTATGTAATTGAGAACACCTGGTACAATGACATTTGGTTGTGTTTGAATGAATGAATGAATATTCAGTTTATTGCTGTTTTGTGATGCAGACCTTCCTTTGATATGTGGGTTGATCAATACAGTTTCCATATTTAATAACGCTTCTATTTGTGTCAAACGTAACGTCAATCAAATCCCTGAAGACACTGAGGAGGTGCGGAACTGGTGTTAAACCTTTATCCCGTTTCATTTTAAGATTCATTCTGGAAATGACTTAGTAGCTATCATTGCTATGGCACAACGGTCGTAATGATATAATTTAAGTGATTTCTAAAGACAAGTTCCATACATTTAATTACTAAAGATCATCAAGGTCGCCGGTTCGATTCCCGACCGCGTCATACCAAAAGACATTAAAATATGGTACTTGTTGGTCCCTGCATGGCACTCGCGGCACGTAAACTTTGTTTTTCGTTACTCTTTTAACTATTACATATGAAAGATTTGTGGTTAGTCTTATGCGGAACACCAAATTCATTCTTTAAAAACTTGTGGTTAATTAATACCGAGCAATTAGAAGTTGCCAAAAGGTCGCCTGCTTCACTAGCGCCCGCCAACGAAACCACAGACAGGTTACGTAACTCTGTCGCCAGAGCACTGCAGTGACGTCATATGAGGAAGGACTTTAAGTTAGTTGTATATAAAGTGTGTAGCAAGCTCGTCATTTTGATGATTTCTCGACATCAACGACGACATGCCGAATCGTTGCATTGTCGTCAATTGCTCCTTGGGGTCGGGTGATGGTGTCACCATGCACAAATTTCCACAGGACCTCTCAGTTCGTGCAAAATGCGTTATGTTTGTGAGTGCGAAGCGAGCGTTGTGGAAACCTGAAACGATATCTTACTTGTATTCAGATAACTTCACAGAAGTTAAAGAATCAAAACTACTTACTAGTTGTAGTAAAATATGTATATGATTCATGACCATAAAGATTGTCCAAGACATAACTTGTAACATAACGATTTCTTCCTCGGAAGCGAGGTTGTGGTCGAAGTAACAATAATACTATAAGTAGTATTATACTATAAGTAGTATTATACTATAAGTAGTATTAAATTGACACCCACCTCGCTTCCACGAGAGAAATTGTTATGTTATAAGCTATGTCATGCAAAATCCTATTGGCTATCAATCAAATACATATATTACTACCAGTAGAAAGTAGTTTTGATTTTGTAACTCGGTGAAAACAAACCTAAATAGCATTTATCCTCAGATTGGCGGATGTTCGCGACAGGGCGCCGCCATTTTTGAAAATCGTAAAGTCACGAGCTAAAGTCTGTTAAAATTATGAGATTATGGTTTGTTTTCATCAAGATAGAAACCAAAACTCGTAGTTAAATATGTATTTCAATCAAGACCAAAAGGATTTTGCATGACACAACTTATAACATAACGATTTCTTCCACGGAAGCGAGGTGGGGGTCAAAGTGACAATACTGCGCGATAAATTTCTTGCTACATTCACGTGGTTAACGTCCACTCACCAGTATGTAGATACTAGTCCAAGTACGTCTTTATATTTGGTCTTATAATTCGAATTAGTTTATTATCATATTTGTATGCACTTTGAAACTAAATAAAAAGCAGACGATCTGCTGATACGTATAGTGAATTTATAACAGGACTGTAATATCTAGACATTTTATAGTTTGCCAATGTGAATCATAATTCGCACACACACCCTAGTGTATGTTGTCTGTCTCATTACACTTCACGGCGAAAACAATGATTCTGTTGAATGCTACGACAAATGAATAGAAACAAAATGCAAATATTAAAATAAAAACAGATTAAAGTTATAGAAACAATGTCAGGCTATTACATTGTTCGAGGAATGTATCCATCAATATCCACAAAAACGTCGTTCGCGGGTGCAGCTGTTCCAAGTGATGTGTCTTTTAACAGTCTAATATACAAAAAGGTGATATATCGTTTCAGGTATGTCACTTCAGTGTATAGTCTCATTGGTCACCCAAGATAGCACACCTGGCAACTAACTGCATAATGTCCGCCATTCTCTAAAAAAGAGTAATTTAGTTAGCCAATAATGAGCAATGAATCAATGTATCGGCGGTTAATCCTTTGAAAGAAGGACGTTGTTTTTCCGCAGACACAGACACGACAGAGTGTATTCAGTATAGATTAGTAAATCTATATACATAAACACTACCTTTTGGCAAAACCGCCGTGTAAGATAAAAGTAATTAACCAATCAGCGTGTTGTCGGTTAATCCTTTGATCGATGTTTATAATGTTGAGTATTTACTCCAGACACAAGAAATGCCAAATGGGAATCTTTGTCGGGCAATCTAAGTGGTGTTACCATTAATCATACATGTTATAAATTCATTAACTGGCCATCAAGTGAATGATGACAAATAACATGTGTAGGTTTATACCACCTAACACGGGTTACAACGAGGGAGTATTAATTGCTGTATTGCATGCAATTTTAATTGCATGTGAAAACGTATGGGCAGACACTGTTTCGAGAATACAAACAGAACTTCACCATTTGCTATGTGCTAAAACTGTATGTACCCATTTACCTAAGTAAATTTTCAGATTCTTCCAGCAATGGTACAGTAGGGTTGTTTTGTTTACGGATTCAAATGATTCAAATGTCAATTTTTAATATCATACGTAATAGACGTCATATTTTTACATGACATGATTAAATATCGAGGTTAAAAAACACAGAAATTGGATCAATTTGGATCAGTCATTATACCATCCAGGCATTAGAAAACCTGGAAAAGCTCACACTGCTTTGATAATTTATTACAATGAGACAAGAACTACCGGGGATATTTTCACATAACTGCATCTGATGGGCATCCACCCTTCTTAATGTCGCACTGTTTAGGTTGAAGAAATTAACCGTAACCGTGATGACCGAGGCTGATCGTCGTTTTCACTATCACTAGCATCTGGTTTGAACAAATAAGGCCTAGCGACACCAAGCGATTTTGACAGAATCGTCTATGAAAACAAGCTATAACTCGGAAACTAGGCAAAGCAGGGGACAAAATTAATTGACAGTAGATTGTGAGAACATATAGCTTTCATATTTCACAACAGTTGTGACGATTTCAGCTTGATACAAACATGTAAATAAGATAATTTACCCCCTGAAATGTACATGAATTCTGCATCGGCCCTCATATCTGTTCCTCATATGACGTCACAGAGACGCGCCGCTTGTTTTAAATTTCGTTCGCGGGTGAGAATTGTGCACTGTTGTCAAAAAGGTCGACTTAAGTTAATTAAAGATCGAAATGAGTAGTTTTAATGACGGGGTTTCATTTAAAAGGATGCCAATTAGTGAGTTGTGTATTTGTACCCCCATAGGGTATATGTGATCTTTAATGGGTACAACTAGGGCGTGCTGGTCGGCTCGGAGTGGGGTATTCTTGCTTCACTGCGGCATGGTATCTCAGTGGGCTAGCACTATAAAACCAACTTAAAGGTCACATGCAACCAAAAAATCAAACATAATTAAAACACAATTATCACTTATTCATGACATATAACATACATTGCTGATTATGAAAAAACATATAAACAAAATTATATGCGTACAATCGCAAATCAAAAGTGCAATATTATGTACTTGGGTTTACTTCCCAAGAAACGAAGCAGCCGGGATACCGAACCCAGTCAGAGCGGGTGGGTGTGCACTCAAGTGTAACGGCTGGTTCATTTGCAGATGCCCTCACGGCTCATTGTGTGTGTATATATAGAGATGTTGGGTTTTGTAAATACATGCTCATTTTTTGTTTATAACATTTTGCAATCAACAGACATCATAACATGTCATGTGTTCAAGTATCACACCTGCCTGTCTGTGTAATTACATAATGTGACAGAGACCGAACTCGGGCCATAAATCAATGCATTTTGTTTATGGTGTATAGCCTGATTGGTGTTAAGTTCAAATTGCATATGGTCAGTGATAGCAGCTGTGTATTGAATATTGTCATTAGCAGACAGGCAGGCAGACACACGGGTGTCAATAAAACAAGACATTGAGTTTTGTCTGTGACAACGACATATCTATATCACGGTTAGAAATTGTGTCAACGCTAAATAGTGACATTGCTTTTAAGTATCGAACTGAGAAAGTGACTCGGTAAGAAGAACGTCTGGTGAAATAGACAAATGAAATTATATAAACAGTTGATTTTTCTGTCATAACACATAAAAAGCTCGCGCCTGTGAGATATCAACAAAACATTAGAAAAATAGCTCACACCAAAGCCTTCACCGAGTACTTCACCGGACAACCGCTTCCAAGCTGCGCGAACCTATTTCACTGCGCACGTTCTTATGAGCGCAGCCCAGCTGTTGAAACCAGTTTTCCCCACAAAAGTCGGGGGAAAATAAGTGAAACGTTTGAACTCCGATTTCACGCGGTTTATTTCATCGCGTTATTTTTCAACTTTAAAAGTTGAATTTTCATTTTTGACGCTTTGTTTCGGTAAGTCCATACCGAAAGGTATCAGAATCTGCAAAGTTGTGTTTTACGTTGCATGTGACCTTTAAGTCTGGGCTAGTACAAGTAGCCGCACACACACATACACACGCATGCACGTCGTCATGTGAATGAAATATTCTTAAGCACGACCTTAAACCCAATTTCTCCTCACTGAAGATCATCACTAAGAAAATTGCGTCATCGATGAAATATCTGCTCAGGGAATTCGTCTAAAGAAAATCAACAACATAAGTAAAATACGTAACTGTGAATAACAGCAACTGGTCATGAAAACAATGTGTAAGGGTGTAATATGTTCCTTGGTAGCAATCTGACACTTCACAGTTACGTTTTAACAGTAGCGTTTTCATCCTTTTTTGGCGCTCATCGCGTTATCAATCAGAATGAAAGCCATTTAAACCTGCTCCTGTTATGTGAATACATGAAATTAACGAAAAACATATTACGTGTTATAGAAGCGTAGCTCCTGAATGCATTACTGTTATGTATGTGAATACGAAACTAATGCTTATAGCGTAATGAGTTATCTCCCTTGGCCTCGCATATCCTGTAACAGTTCCGGAATTAAACTTGCCCAGTACCTGCCACCAGAGACAATATATGGTCTCTGCTGCCACCCGAGTGTTCGGTCGTGTTTGTAAAGAGCTCTTGTGTAGAAGTTCTATTTGTGTTGGAACCCGAGCCTGGGGACACTAAAAATACCACATACGGAGCTATAAAACACTCTTGGTACCGAGCCAAATTGACGTGTTTGCCAGGTGCGACCTATAGTCCGTTTCAGAAGACGTTCATTACACGTTTGCTGCAGGCGATTCCAGTCCGCTTTCAGCAATTGAACATTAGGTCCCCCTGCTTTCAAACATTTTGATATGAGGTGTAACAGTGACCTATTTAATAGTGCAGTGGTATAAGCCCGTGACATAGTGAGTGAGTGAGTTATTATTTAACGTCACCCGTGACATATATATTCTATATGTTTACATGAAACATGCACAAGACGCCACATGTTCAGCTGTACACAAGCCAAAAGAAACTACTGTGTGTGTGAAAAGGTACAACGCTGATTGTTGTGCAATTGAGAAAAACGTATAGGTTCTGTGTTCGTTCGTTTCTTGAATTAGAGTCGCGGTAAATGTACACCAGCTCTAATACACGGCCCACCGATCATACTACATACAGAACAAATACTGACAGGTATAACAGTAAGTGTTTCTCTATGCGTGATATTAAAAAGTTGCCACCTACCTCTCACGTGATATCTGCTCCAGTGACCCCCAGATGACCTGCAGCTGTCTACAGCTGAAGAATAGCTGATGAACATGCGCCTAGTGTATACGGTGGTAAAGTGTGTCAAGGTGCCGGGTTGATGGAAGTGTTGTGAATGAATGGTGTAGATAAAACAGTGTGTGCTTCTACATTATATTTGATCTGTGTGTAACATAACTGCAAGCTATCCCATTGTGCTGTAGCCGTGATATGGTAAGTGTAGGACAGTCCACTGACTGTGCAGGGATGGCTGGTTCAAACTGAAGGCGAAAAGCTTAGCCATGCTGGGTGTATTAAGCTGCTTGCTGTCTTACACGGGATTCTAACATAGGTAATGGGTATATATTACACACCAGGTTTAAACTTCACCCATTGCATTCTCTTTTAAACGCATCCATAGTTTTGTCACAATGGTGTACGTGAACTACACGCATGCACGCACGCTCACACACTAGTGTACCTCTGTGTGTGTGTGTGTGTGTGTGTAAATATCCTGTAAACATCTCCCACACAGGTAATTAACTAAGTACGCAGGGCTACCATGGAATAATAATGTCTCTTGGCTAAATCATGCCAAAAGGCATGCATTATTAAAATCACGATTTTAGACTGAATCATGTGTACGTATTCCCACAATTTGCAGTTTTGATCATATACTGAGTCAAATAAGAAACTTCACATTCTTTCTTCAGGACACTATAAAAGAACAAGAGATGGTAAGATGGTTAAATTGTTATTATTTCATTGCTGCGATCTGTGTGATGTACTCGATGCACTGGCAATGCCATAATCAGTTCCATTAGGCTACAACGCCGTTCCAAAACATGGGTAGACAGAATGTCAAGTCACAAGAATAAAAATGCGAAATTTCTCATTTCAATATCGTGTATGGCCGCCCCGTGCATTCACAACTGCCAAACACCGTCTCCTCATCGACTCTGCGCCATTGCTCTTGCAAGGCAGCGCCAAGTTCCTGCAAATCTTGAGGTTGGTTCCTAAGACCACGAAGCCTTCTCCCAAGTGCATCCCAAACGTGCTCTATTGGATTAAGGTCAGGGGACCTCGATGGCCAGTCCATGACGTTGATTCCAGCGTTTTGAAGGAAATTTCGTGTCAACATCGCGGTATGCGGCCGAGCATTATCATGCTGGAACTGTAGACCTGGGCCATGAGCCGCCATGAAAGGAACGAGTTCAGGGGTGAGCACCTGGTCGCGGTAAGCAGCAGCTGTGAGGTTTCCACGGATGACCAGAAGTCGGGAACGGTTGTTCCCACAGAAAGCACCCCACACTATCCAACTTCCGCCCCCGAATCTGTCGACTTCATGTACACAACATTGGGCATACCGTTCACGACGTCGTCTCCAGACTCTATGCCTGCCGGCCGCGAATCTGAGGGTAAACCTGGATTCATCGCTAAAGACGACTCGATTCCATTCTCTCTGGGTCCACAGCAGACGTTGACGTTAATGAAACGGCGTCAATATTGGCCCACGATATGGACGTCGAGAATGGAGATTGGCAGCCCGCAACCGATTTCGAATGGTCTGTGAGGACAGTCGACCTCTAACATCTCAGCCCTGGTTCGTGTAGCCGGCAGAAATCTGTCACGTAGGTGACGTAGGACGATTTGACGGTCTTCTGCTCGTGACGTCACACGTGGGCGATCCGACCTTGGGCGATCAGAAGTGGTGCCACTTTGTTGTAGACGACCTCGCAAGTCATACACAGTACGACGGCTGCATCCCATTGCTCTTGCGACGTCAATAACTGATCTTCCCACTTGCAACATGCCAACGGCACGTTCACGTTGCACATTTGACAATCGTGGCATTTCAAGTACCGTTAGAACTGTGGTATTAAAGTGGGTTTTTTCAATTCTTGAGGTCAATGCAAACACGTGCATATGAAGAAAACTTCGATGCAAAGATCACATGATCGACTGCACGTGCAAAACCTGATTTGGCACTAACGTCATTTGCACGACGAATGGATGAGTTTGAGTGGGTTTTGCTCACGTTTTTCTAGAGTCGGCAGATAGGGATCCCATTTCGGATACATACATGTATCATCAGAGAAAAATTATTCATTATTTTTCAAATTACATACCTTATCTGTGGAATGAATGTGAAATATCCTGACTAACTCACCCTCCTGTCCTAGTCAACGTGGTCAAGTGAATCCTCGGAACGTGAACAGTGCCTACCCACTGTTGGTTAACCGTCTGGTGTACTGTATTCACGCTGGTCTATAAGTGTACAACATGAACAGCCGTGTAAATCATAGTTGCAGTTTCAGTAACACGTGCTTCTGAAATACTGTCTCTGATAGTCTGTGCTTTCAATTTATACTTAACTCTCACACCAATTTACATAAATTATGTATGGTGTCTCATGGGAAATATGTATCCACAGTCATGTCTCTACAATGTACGATCAATTTAAAATTTTATCAACATTCCAACCTCGAATTTTGATTAGTTATTGCACAATTTTGTCAGGTGAATGAATTTAGTTTTAGTTTAGTTTAGCAAAATTCCAGCAATATCACGGGAGGGGACACCAGAAATGGGCTTAACACATTATACCCATGTGGGGAATCGAACCCGGGACTTCGGCTAAACGAGCGAATGTTTCAACCACAAGGCTACCCCACTGCCCCAAATATGTTAAACTTAGCTGGTTCTTCGAAACAAAACCGGATCTTAACGGACAAGAAATGGCAAGCAGTCTGTCAGCTAGTAGCTCCGTACATGAAAAAAGGATTCATTGTAAAGTATGTAACAACAGTTAGGATAGGAAAACTAGTTGTCATGGTTGAAGGTTGCACCTATCATATGGGATAAACATTTCCACAAGTAATTGTCTGTCATCACAGAATATGTACACAAGAAATGTGTAATAGACTGTCTCAATGATATATCAATGTATGTATGTTGATTATGCCCAAGTGTGTGGATGACTGCGTCCCGTCAGATATTTTGCAGGAGTGTAAGACGAAATGAAGCTGTAAAGTTGGATAACATTACAGTAGAAGATGTAGTTAACTTGCCTGATTATTAAATTAACGCCGCTCTCATCAATAGCCAGGCTTTACGATGGCGGTATCTAGCTAATCGTAAACGTACCAGATTTTTAAAACGTAGTATTTTTGTTCTTTTAAAGTTTGGCTAAATATTTCCTACAATCGCCAACGGCTGAAGGGATGGTGTAAATCCAACTAGGGTCCATGCAGGTAGCAAAAGTACTGTAAGTCCCCATGGTGATCTACCTTCAGTTGCTGGCGATCTATTACCTGTTTTTATATTGTACTGTCCTCTATAGTTAAAGTATTTTAGATATAATTACTAGTTTTAAACATATATCTGTGATAGTCAAGTTGGTTTTACTGTCCTTTGTCGATAGATATTTTAAACTGATTACATTGTTTTCATCATATATGGCTGTAATATTGTCGATGCGATGTAAAATTGTAACTCACTCACTGTAGGTAATCGAATAGGACAGAAAATACAGTGGTTGACATCATGAACCGTTGTACAATAAGATACAATTGTATACCATTATACAAGCCACCAACCCTGAGCATCTAGTTTAGACGCCTCTTCCTACCAGCGGAGGGTGCTGGGGACTACTTACCGGAATCCTTACTAACCCTTATCAATAGCGTGAGTGTATCACACTTTGAATGATGTCCTATTCTAAAAGCATTCATACCTATAAGGGACAGTGTGGTAGCCTAGAGGTGAAAGTGGTCGTTCGCACGCCGAAGATCGGGGTTCGATTCCCCAAATGGGAACAATGTATGAAGCCCATTTCTGGTTTCCCCCGACGTGAAATTGCTGGAATAATGTTGACAGAGGCGTAAACTTAAACACTAATCCACCCCTACCTTCAAACTAACCTGTTTCTGAATGTCGTCTGTTTAGGTTGTACTTTTGGTTTTGTCAAAGCGGGCTTCCTTTGATTTCTTTTGGAAAAAATATGTGGCGGTGGGGTAGCCTAGTGGTTAAAGCGCTCAGTCGTTACGCCTAAGTGTGAGTAAGTGAGTTAATATATTAAGTCACATCGGCAGTATTTCAGCCATATCGTGACTATATCAAGTTATCTATTTATAATAATCTAGGTAAATTTTTAAAACCTGTCAATGAAGGACAGTAAAACAACTAGTTTATCACAGATATAAATTTAAAAACTAGTAATTAATTTTAAAACATTTTAATTATACAAGACGATACAATATAAAAATAGGCTACAGATTGCCAACAACTGAAAGTAGATCACCATACTAGGGACCATTGGGACTTACAGTACATTTACTGCATGGATGTCACGCCTAAGACCGGGTTCGATTCCCCACAAGGGTACAATGCGTGAAGCCCAATCCTGGTGTTCCCCGCCGTGATATATATAGAAAAACATTTGTAGAGTGCTAGAATCCAGGTGAAGCTGCCCAAAAGCGCATCAGTTCCAGGAAAACAGCTCAAGCAACAGTTACAGACTGAATGCGTCTCTGTATTCTGTATAAGTGAGTCTCTAGCTGGGCCTTGAAAGTAGACAACTTGTGTTCTGATCTCAGGTGATGAGGTAATCTGTTCCAGAGGAACCTATCACCAAACATCTTTGTATTAGTCCGTGGCACAGCAAGTACATTCTGTTCAGCTGATCTTAACTGACGGAGTGGTTGATAGGTTTCAATCATGCTGGACAGATATGATGGAGCAAGACCCTTCAGACATTTGAATACAAGAACGAGGATCTTGTATTCATTCATTCATTTATTGCAGTAATAAGGCCTCAGGCCCACGTACATATTATAGGCAAATATTTACAATTGGTGCTGCATTCCCTAAATTTTAAAGATATGACGATCGTAGACTGACAGCGTCTTTCACAAAATTTGCCAGGTTTCTTAACAATAAAACATCAGAGGACTGTAGCATTCGTACACGATTCTCTCTGTGACTGATAGTGTCCACGTGTACGCAAGGAAAATATTTAAGACGTTTATCATGATAAACAGGACAAACAAAAATAAAATAAATTTCAATTTCAATAGCATTTAAACTACATGGTGGGCAAAAAACGGATGTTTCTGT